TGTTTTAATCGACAATTGAATGTACCATATCTTTTCGAAATATACTGTTTCCATTTAATAAATGTATATTTTTTTCTATTTAGGAGAGATATTTTATGGAGAAAAAATATATTTTGCAAGTTAAAGTTATAAAAAGAATTCTAGTTAATTTTAAATTTAAATGTAAATTGATTAATTCAGGAACTGAACGCTTTCCTAAATTTTTTTCTTCTAATAATATCGAGGGCTACCCATAAAGGATGAGACTTCCAGGACGGAACTTATTCAGTCTTTTTCTTGAATTCCTGCTTCACTGAGCTGCGGTTTTAAACTTGTGCAAAATCATTTAATATACCTCTAAATAACTTTACTACAGTGATAACCAGAAAATAATGGAATAGGAAGACGACATTATAGCAATAAATAAGTGTATTTGATGTTTTTACAAAGCAAATAGTTTTACTATTCACTTACTAAATTAGTAATTTTGTGAAATGGATCTGTTTACAGTTCACAATTGCTGTTTCCTTTGCTCATTGAACTTTTCAAAGTTAGAACTTGATTCTAAAAGTCGTCTTTCTGTTCCAGAGTTTTCTGGTTATTACTGTATGTACAGGGTGTCCCAATAAACATGGGAATTAAGTGACGATTTTTATATCGCCTTCGATCAATGCAGAGTTTTTTCTTCAATATAATTATTGCAGTATTCCAGTTTAAACATCAAATCTTTTCAAAATGTGGTCTGCCAGTTTTATATCATAAAAATTGAAAAGATATTGCAAAATTTGTACAAATTTCAATTTATTTAATAAATCTAAATTGTCTTAATATCTTATATCTCCGTAAATGTTTCAGACACAAGAATGAATGATCTCGATCAGGACATGCATGGACTAAAATAGACCAGAATAGAATAGAATAGAATAGAATAGAATAAAATAGACCAGAATAGAATAGAATAGAATAGAATAGAATAAAATAGACCAGAATAGAATAGAACTTGTGAAATAGAATAAATTATATCTTGATTCTGCCTTATAACGAAATATGTAATCAATTAGTGTACGATGAAAATGGCGAATTTCAGAGCACCTTTAATAGCTAAACTTTGTGTAAGAAGAGGGGAGCGTACATTATAAAAGCCTAGTGGTAAAATGGAATAGAATAGAATAGAATAGAATAGAATAGAATAGAATAGAATAGAATAGAATAGAATAGAATAGAATAAAATAGAATAGAATAGAATAGAATAGAATAGAATAGAATAGAATAGAATAGAATAGAATAGAATAGAATAGAATAGAATAGAATAGAATAGAATAGAATAGAATAGAATAGAATAGAATAGAATAGAATAGAATAGAATAGAATAGAATAGAATAAATAGAATAGAATGAATAGAATTGATACCCTTTGTTACAATATATCTACATGCATTAAATATCTTATCTCTCAAAATAAACAAATGTTGAGATACCCCAGAGTTCAATTATATACAACTCATAGGACAGAATAATATACAACTCATAGGACAGAATTATATACAACTCATAGTACAGAATTATATACAACTCATAGGACAGAATAATACACAACTCATAGGACAGAATAATATACAACTCATAGGACAGAATTATATACAACTCATAGGACAGAATTATATACAACTTTGTATATTGGAAAATTAGGCTTTTAAAGAAATGAAAATTCGCCAATAAATACAGATAAAGCTTTGAATTTTAATTTGTTGTTATTTGTAACTAAATTGTTTAATGATTTGCGAAGAAAAATGCTTGCGATTAAAAAAAACAATTAAACGTAGAAATTATCAGAAAAAAACAACAGCAAGAACATTTGTAGATTTGATAATTCAATCAATTAAACTTTAACCATGAATTTGGAATTTTTTGTCCCTATTTTCAGAATAGCTTCTCAATAGCATGCTTAAGGGAAAGAAACCCTAGTGCAAAACAGGAAAAATATCTGTCTTAATAAACTACGATGAGTGAAAAGTTAAAAATCTAGTTTTTTAGTCTTTAGTCATTAATTTTGACTCTTTTTGAGTCTTTTAAGTTAAAAAATGTTCTCACTTAAATCCTGTATCCGCCCCTGATCGTTAAAGTTCTTACTGGGGTCGTTAAATTTCCGATTAAATCGAGCTTTTTAACTGAAAAATACAATAGTTTACAATAAATAGTTTTATAAAAAAAGAAGAAATGTGTAAACACAGATCGTTTTTTCTTTCCCATCTTAATTCTACACACATTGGAAATATATCTGCATACTTATACAATGCTTGAGCCACGTGTGAATGAGAAGCAAAAACCCTTCCTGCTCTTATTACCACTTGGAATTGGATATTTTTGGTTTTATAAGCAATTATTATGTTTTAAGAGCACATACTATTAAGTAATTATTTTATGTAATATAAAAGAACAAGACGCATGTCAATTTTGCTTCAAAATCAAAGTTAAAATTACAACAAAAGTTTAAAAGAATTAGTGTAACCAATATGACTGTTATTTTCATTGGCTGTTTGCTTCTGAATGGTTTTAGTGAGCTGCTTTTGAGATATTCTACAGAATTAATCATAAAACTGTTGACTGAATATGTTTATTTTATTTAATGGCGACTTAAAACTCATTAACAATAACGATGTGACCGTTAAATTTGATATTTATTCTTTAGCTATTGAATACAGCTTTTTAGGGATCTCCCTGGAAATAATTTGACAAAGAAAAGAATTAGCTTTAAGTTCCAGGGAACCAAGACTGCCGAAAAAAAAGCCAGCAAATATCCCGGAAAGTAGAATCAAAAATCCAGCATATATCCCGGAAAATAGAATCAAAAATCCAGCATATATCCCGGAAAGTAGAATCCAAAATCCAGCATATATCCCGGAAAGTAGAATCCAAAATCCAGCATATATCCCGGAAAGTAGAATCCAAAATCCAGCATATATCCCGGAAAGTATAGTTTCCAAAATCCAGCATATATCCTGGAAAGTATAGTTTCCAAAATCCAGCATATATCCCGGAAAGTAGAATCAAAAATCCAGCATATATCCCGGAAAGTATAGTTTCCAAAATCCAGCATATATCCCGGAAATATCCAAATAAAATGAGGCGTTTGCAGCGTAATATATTATAGTGTTACCCACAAAGGATAAGACAATGATAAGTCGCTAAAAAATGGTTAAATATAACTTTTTTGTAGATCTCAAATATTTTTGAATAATTCACATTCTGTTCAAATGTATGAACTAAATGCCTGTTGAATGTTCTTCTAACGAATAAATGTTCCAACTTCAAAACTTGGCAAAATTTGTATATCTTCAAAGACGACATTCAAATCCCAATTATACAGGGTGTCCCACGAAACACGACAGTTTGTGAATAGTTTAGAATGTCTTTTTCCCTAATTTGTTAAGTTGTGTTATACCAAAGATCAATAAAAATATTATATGGGAGCCATATATCAAAATTGATTTCAAAGTAAAATATAACTGAGCAAAAGATTTGTTTAACTAAAAATAGCTATTTATTAAATGTCATGTTTCGTGGGACATTCTGTAATTTTATGAGGCCGGATACTATACCATGAATAAACGAACTAAGAATTAAATTCAAAAATATGTAAACAATTTGCAAAATCACTTTCATATGTTATAAGAGCAAAATTATAAAACACTGGAGCTTGGAATAAAGGGTTTCCTACGCAAGTGGATTTAACCTGCGCGCAAGTGAATTTAACTGCGCGGAATTCAGTAATCATTGTGACTTTCTTGCGTGTGTGTTAAAATTTTATATGATATTCAAGGGTACGCAATAAATGCAATCAACTATTGCGAAATTCTTTTTAACAACAACCAATCAATTCAAACTTTGGTAGTGGCATACAATAAGCTGAACTTCAATAACATTTCAGAGTCAAATGCTGAGAAAATTGAATTCAAACTTAATCTTTTACTTTATAATATTCATATACAGCATGATAACCTCTGGCATAGAAAGAAAGACGACATTTAACTGTATAAGTGATTTAATAAGTTACTAATTAAAATTTTTCGTTTTGTAGTGACAAGTTGACAACCAATACACTGTAATGTTGTCTTTCTATACCATAGTTTTCTGGTTCTCACTGTAGCAAAATATCTAATTTTGATAAAAAAAACTTACAATTTTAACCAAAAAAGTTTCCATTTTAATGTTCATCTAAAATGGACAAAAGAAAAATGTATATTAAATTGTTTATTAATAGCTTAACCACAAGAAACTTAAAAATTTTAAAAGTGATTTCTTTAAATCTACAGAAATATTTCCATTCTTGTATCTGATGCATAAATTAGTAAGTCGCAGATTATTAATTATCACATGGAAAAGCAATTCCGTTGCACACAATTCCGCGCAATTCATTGCTATCTTTTCAATCAATAAAATGCATATTTTCAACTGATATTGGACCCTTCAAACCTTCTCAGTATTCAGTATTATCACATTTCACTTGGATTGGACCCACGCACATTCATGGAGGGGGACATTGTGCCTCATAATTTCTACGTTCGAGCCACAAACATTCATGGAGGGTGTAATCGAGCCTCAGAATTTCTACGTTCGAGCCATATATATTTACTAAAAACTAGGGCAATAGATCCAGCCTGCTTTTCAAATTCTCATTAATTTTAAAGACAGGGTCGACTTTAAAATTTCAGTTTAAAGTTTGTGTTTTGATTTTATACCGCTCTACTAATTTATGCTTTTCTGTAGCCCTTTACATGTTCATTTTAGCACTGTTTATTGGTTTTTAAGAAATAATTGGCAAAAAATCTTTTCGATATTTCCTAGAGAGCTTGAGGCCTTTAGGTCCTAGTAAGGGAATAACTTCATAAACAGTTTTAATCGTCCGAGCCACACAAATAAGGGAAATCCATAGAGGAGGGTCCCCCACCATCCTCGACATAAACGACATGAAATATCCTTAAACGGACTGTCGTTAAATTATTTGATTCACAACAATGGAACCTCAATCTGATCAACAACGTGGACGATAATGTCTTTTTTCTAGCTTAAAAAGTGTCTAAATCTGTTATTTTACAAAAGGTTTCTCAAGCACGGCATGCGCAAAGAACTTTTGTGAAGAAACCACAGGTGACAAGTTCAAAACAAAACATGAACATTTAATTCTTAATAAGAAAAAGCTTTAAGGGTACCTTTATAAATCGGACATGCCACACTGTTTTTTTATTGGAGGGTCACTTAATTAATTAATTTGGCACTACACAACAAGTTACAAAGAAAAACCGCATGTGTAGGGGTGAATCAGTCCTCCCTCATCATCTAACCTGGATAGGGTTAAAAGACAAAACCTTGAAAGATTTTTAACGATTCAAGAAATGATTCCCATCGCTACTCTCTGCTCAGTTGCTCGATTTGCTTAATCAATTAAGCAATAACAGAAAAATGCGTAATTTCAGGTGTGAATTATGTATAAAAGTGCGGTCGTCTAGTTTACTAGGACTTGTATCTGCTGCATAAATTTGTAAGTCACAGTTAAAATTATTGATTTTTAGATGGAAAAGCAATTCCTCTGCACGCAATCCAGCGCAATTCCGCGAATGTTTAATTGCTTCCTTGTTCGCAATCAAATATGAACAAATCATACAGTTCTAATGATGTTACATCAAAGCTTTTGATGTAAATATTAATGCATTATTGCAAAGCTTGGTTATTCTCAACATTTTCAAATTTATGGTTCTGTAATCCAAGGAGATCTAGAGAACTCTGATGGTTAGTTATCAAATATTTAGCTAGCCTCAACTTAAAAGTCTTTGGTTTATCCTCGCCAACTCACCTATACTTTTTTGTAGCCTTAGGCATATACATTTCGCCATTGTGATATAGGAAAACAGATTTTTCTTTCTATTAAATGTCTTATGTATAAAATGTTCTCTCTATGTAATTCTTTATCTGTCCTGTCTTTGAAATGTCGGTGTTGGGACATTTTTTAGATAACAAAATCATAGATCGGACATTTCATAGATGGGACATTTCATAGACAAAACAGATTTTCATAGAAGGGTATTTTCATTTTTCAATTTGTGTATCTCCGCTAACAAGATAACTGTGAAATGTCTTAAAAACGGGTACTATACGGTGGTAGGCGATTATATCAATAGAATGAAGACGTTTTTTTTGTTTTAGTTTTTATTGGTAAAAATTTTTTCGAATAGAGGCTTTTTGAATTGAAAAATTCTCTATTTTTCCATGTTATTTTGTATTCATCCTGTTTAACAGCTTGATATAAATCAAACTTTAAATCGATAATCGTCATTATTATAATCGCCTACCACTATAAGATCATCAGTAGACTTTATTTTTACAAAACTTCTTTGCAAAAAGCTTGGTTTTTTAATTAGTCTTTTTTATATGTCAAAACTATCATGTTTTGTCCAAAATTCATTTTTCGAGTTAATATTTAGCTAATAATCAGTGAAATATGAAAAGAAATGATTTATTTTATCAATAGTAAGGAAGTTGGCCAATAAATGCAATGCGGTAAAAAAAAAAAGACAACTGAGTCCTTCCAGGAGTTTTCTTTAAAAGATTTGTCTTTCTGAAGTGTTTCCTTTCAGGATTTTTTAAAAATTAATTTGCCTTTCAGAAGTTTGTCTTTTAGAAGTCTGTTTTAAGGTTTTTGTCTTTTGGGAAATTGTCCCTTAGGATCTTTTATTAGAATTTGTCTTGCGTGATTTCTTCTTTCAGTAAAAGTTTGTCTCTCAGAAAATCGTCTTTTTCGTAGTTTGCCCACAGAGAAAGTAGTTTTTCAGGAATTTGTTTTTTAGACGGATAGAGTGTTGAAACACTTTTCAAACGGATAGAGGGTTGGAACTTTTTTAAAGACGTATAAAGGGTTGGAATATTTTTTAGATGGATAGTGGGTTGGAACATTTTTCAGACGGATGGAAGGTTGGAACATGTTTCAGACGGATAGTGGGTTGGAACATTTTTCAGACGGATAGAGGGTTGGAACATTCTTCAGACGGATAGAGGGTTGGAACATTTTTCAGACAGATAGAGGGTTGGAACATTTTTCAGACGGATAGAGGGTTGGAACATTTTTCAGACGGTTAGAGGGTTTGAACATTTTTCAGACGGTTAGAGGGTTGGAACATTTTTCTAATCTTTCAAAAGATAAGATCTTTCATTGAACCTAGAAATATAATATAGCCTGATGGTGCGAGATATTCGAATAATATTTGTTCGATTTTACCATCCCCTACCTCCCCCCCTCCCCTTCCCTCAGGAACAACCGCTGTGCCTATCCCACTTCTTCCAATCTTCCAATTGTATCGGTAAATCTAGCTCAGTGGTGCAACATACAGGGTTACTCACAAAGGTTTAGACTTCCATGACGACCCTAAATTATAAATGATGATCTGAAGTTTAAGTTAGGATTCTGCAAATAGTCTTTATATGATGATTTTTTGAAGAATTAACAAGTTTGCAACTGAATTGATCTGTAAACATTAGATTAAGAGGAAACATGTTCTAAACAATCGGTTTTTAAAATTTCTTCTTTTGTGGGAAACCTAGGAGTTAAATATCTACAAACTTTCTGATTATGCTAAACTACCTTTTATTATTTAATAGTATATTAAAAAGAAACCAAGAAACCTTTACAGCTCTGTTTTTTTATCTATTTTTCAAGTCAATGAAAACTTCGAACTAATGTTTATTCTTGTATTTTTAGTATTTTTTTTCATTGTTTTCTCATTGATTCTCATGATTCTCATTGGCACCCGTTCAAACTTTATTTAGAAAAGATTGAAATGTCGATGCTTTTATTTATCTGAAAAGGAGTATTTTCTGTACATGAAACGACTGAACCAAATTGGCTGAACTTTTTTGAGGGAACTCACGGGTACCTCGAGGATAACATAAACTAGAGAAAATTAAATTGTTTTTATTCAAAATTGTTTTCGAAATTTACGGGCAACGTCGAGTACTTAAACTAGTCAATTCTAAGATAAAGAAGCGAAGATATCTCTGTAATATTTATTGATTTTTTATTTAAAGTTCACTAGAAATCAATTTCTCAGTCCTAGGAAGGAATGCAGGTTCAGACTTTTATATTTATTTATATATTAGCATATTTTTAATTGTTTTGGCGAAAAAATATTGAAAATTGTATACTAACCCTTGAAAGTGTTCACGAAAAAATATCAAAAATTGACTACTAACCCTTGAAAGTGTTCACGAAAAATATTGAAAATTAACTACTTACCCTTGAAAGTGTTCACGAAAAATATTGAAAATTGACTACTTACCCTTGAAAGTGTTAACGAACAAATATTCTGAAAAAAATGATTCTGATCTTTCATAAATTGCTTTTGAATTTAAATAAAGTACTTCCTTTAGTTTGAAAAAGATACCATCTGAAGGTTTTTGATAACCCCACAAGTGTTAAGTTTGTGATATAAAGGTTGGAGGAGGATATTACTAGGCTAGTATACTCAGAATGTATGGACGGATAAGACAAGGTGTTAGTTACACAGCATATACCATTAAAAATATTCTTTTTATTCATTGAACAGTTTTTTCATTTTATATGAACATTTTTAATAATATTTCAAATTTTTTATTGTAATCATTCTTTACATTTATTAAAAGTATTACATTAAAACATTAATATATGAAATTTCTTGCAATAAACATTCTTTAAAGTTTGGTTTCACATTTTTGAAACCTATCATCAAACAAAGATGGTTTAAACTCTTTTTAATCATTGGATATTTGACTTTTAATCTTATTACACAAAAAAAAAACAGTTTAAACCCTCTCAACTAACACTGACCAAAGATAATGAAAAGCGTGATCTTGAATATACTAAAGCATTTTTTTGGTAATCTCATTTTTCAAAATTATGCATCAAAGGAGTTGAGTTTTTGCCACAAACTCTGATTTTCTAATCTCTATATCTTTGTAACCCAATGTCGTTGACCTTAGATATTTCAAACTATTAATACTTATAGATAAAATAATCTAAGTTTGAAATATCAAAAGTTTGCACCATTAGGTTGCAAAGATATTGGGATGAGAAGATTTGAGTTTGTTGAAAAAACTCAATTCCTTTGTGATTTTTTAAAGGCAATCTGACATACCCTTTAAAAAATCAGGGAAACTATTTTTAACTCAAAATTAGATGAGTAGAAAAACTGAAGTGCGGGAATATATTATTTCTATCACACCTTAAAATTTTAAACAGATAAGATAAATTGCGTCGGACAAATGTACGAAATTAAATTCAGAAAATCCGCAATCAACATATTTTCTTTTATGCGTATTTTTCTATTATTCGTATTTCGAATGAGATTACCAAAAATCTCGCTATTCACCCTTTTTTATTTACCCTGTATAATATAAATTATCGGAGAGTAAAACGACGGTTTTTAGTAATTCTAGGCAAATTCTTTTATCATAGTTTCGGTTAAAGTAATTATATGAATGCCAACTTTTTAAATTTTTTTAACAAACCATTCTTAGATTCTGCCGTTCATTTTAACGTTATTTTTTTAGTTCGAAGCATTTTCGATTTTGAATCAGAGCTTTCCATGTCAGGTACGAAAAATGCGTTTATAAACATATTTACGAATAATGAAAATAGTAATATTGTACATCTGTTATGATCATACATACAAACAGACAAACATAGATTACTACTTACAAAAATTAAATCAATAATAATAATAATAATAATAATAATAATAATAATAATAATAATAATAATAATAATAATAACAACAATAATATTAATAATGATAATGAAATAATAATTTTAAATAAAATGAATGATCATAATAATAATTATAGTATTCATAATAGTAATACGAAAACAATTATAAAATGATTACATAATAATGATACTTGTTCAGGTTCTAGTCTGATAGTTGTACATTTCTTTGCTAGATGGAGCGGACCCTCACAAATGATCAAGGTAATTCAAGGAATTTAGTCTTTGCCAGAAACTCAAATTTTCTAATCCCTATATCTTTGAAACTTGATTGTGTCAACCTTTGATATCTAAAGCTTAGACTATTTTGATCCAATGAAATTCATTGTTTGAAATATCTACGGTCTATGCCACTGGGCTGCAATGAAATTCATTGTTTGAAATATCTACGGTCTATGCCACTGGGCTAATGAAATTCATTGTTTGAAATATCTACGGTCTATGCCACTGGGCTGCAATGAAATTCATTGTTTGAAATATCTACGGTCTATGCCACTGGGCTGCAATGAAATTCATTGTTTGAAATATCTACGGTCTATGCCACTGGGCTGCAGTAATATAGAGATTAGAACATCAGAGTTTAAGGCAAAACTTAAAAATTGAGGAAAAATTTGAACAACACTTTTTATAAATTAAACTATAGAGAAATATTCTGAAACGAACGACTATCCTTATATCTTTGCAACCTAATAGTTTGACCTACCATAATTCAAAAATGGAAATATCACAGGTCTACGACATCAAGTTGGAAATACATAAGGAATAGAAAATTAAAGTTTGATAATAGTAATCGATAATGATAGTAAGCCGGTAGGAATTTTTTTTAACTGCTGTGTTTGAAATTTTCTTTGATTATTTATCTGTACAGACGGAACTAGAAAGATTGGCTTCACACCATCCTGATACAGTATTCGTAGAGGTAACATATAAGGGGGGAGATCAGCTCAAAAAGATGAGCAGTTAAAGGAAATAATCACAGCTTTTGATGACCGATAAAACTTTACAAAAATAATGTCGAGCGTGGAATTTTCTCAACAAAGTACAAACCAAAGTGGAAACATTCGAGATAATTTTAATTTATTCACTCTTTTTTTATTAATTTAGGTTTTACCAATCTCTTTTTATCGAAAATTGTAATAACAAAAATCAGGGAAATCAGGGAAATATTTAAAAACATACATTAAATTTTTTAAAGTATGTTTTTAACGCCATTTCACTTATTTGAATGTCTACTGTTTCTTTAAATAAATGTTGTGATTTGTCCCAACTGTTAATAAATGCTTATAGCAACCTTTTTTTGCACATTCTATGAGTTAGAACATTTTTTAAAGTCATTTGCGCGTAAAAGCTGAAAAATTAGTCCACACCTTTTGTTCGGAATTTCGAGCAGAAAGCACAATTTGCGCACAACTTTATGAGCACGTTTCATAAATTGCGGCAAAATTCAATTTTAGAATGTGACCCCATATTGAATCCCTCTTACAGTACCCTATCTGACCCCTTCAAAAAATGTGCCTATAATTTAATCAACATATAATAGAAAAACTGACACCCTCCAACTTCGAATTCTCAATAATTTGTTTAAACTCGTAATAATAGAGTTTTGGCGGCAGGCTATCTAATTAACTGATAAGTAACATCAAAACAATATGTGATGCCAGAAAAATCTTTAGATTTGCAAATTATTGTGCATTGAAAATCCTAAAAGACGAAACATGAGGAAATATCTAAATACAAACTGTTTTTTTTTCATAGACAAAGCTGAAATTAGTATAACAAACTTGCAGATATTTTTCTTCAATTGTACAGGAAACTGTATTCTTTCCTTGATGCACAAAAATGTATTTCAATTTTCATTTTTTACGTACCAATGTGGGTTCTTCATAAAAATGAGTGTTTCAAAGGTGGTTCTTTATAAAAATTAATTTTGGATTTATGCAGCAGAAAAAGAGAAAAAAATTGACAGAATTTATTCAAAATTAAAAACCTACGTTATTTTCCTTTTAGAAAAGGGTTAATAGGGGGTGTTGTGAATCGGGCATGTAACTTTTTAGATCGTAATTTCGATCAAAATTATCGCAATATCAAAATACTGAAAATGAAAGGGGGCATCTGTTGATTCTATTAGGAGAAAATTGTTAAAACGACTCATATCGAAGAACATAGCGTCCATACAAATTCAGAAAGTTGCAACATACGACTAGGATCGTAAAAAAATCTATTTTATTCCATGCAAATCATTCAGATATTACGACCTATAATCATCGACTATTTTTCGACGCATTCGTAAATAGTTGATATTTCATAATATGTTTTTATATACAATGGACTTAAAACGACGATTTGTTCTTGCTCTAGGTGTCTCTGCAACGTGTAATCATTCAGAGCATCGAGAGCAGAGACACCTGGCGGGCAATTATTTCGGAGTTTTAATTGTACATAAAACAAATAAAAAATAGTGTGAAATCTCAACTTTATACGAATGCGTCGAAAAATTATAGATGATTATAGGTTGTAATATCTAATTGATTAGTTTCGAATTAAATTGATTTTTTACGATGCGAGTCAAATGTTGCAACTTTCTCAATTTGTATTAACGCTAGGTTCTTCGATTTGAGTCGTTTTTTAACAATTTTCTTCTTTATATATGATAGAGCTAAAGCTAGTAGCTATCACCATCGATAATTTTTCGCAGTTAGCCTATACCTCCTTTCATTTTTCGCAAACACTCCCTTTAAATGTACGTTGAATGTTCCTTTCTATAAATGCATATGAAGGTAGATGTAGACGGATGTGAAAGAATAGCTGAACGTTATGAGATCTCAACCCTACCATCCTTCCTTCTTATTCAGAATCATAAGGTTTTTTTTACTTTTTTCTCCTCTCTTTTATTCAAGATTACCATTAAAGGGAGTGACCGGCTATGTAAGGTAGTTGAACTGAGTATGCAATGTTGTGGAAAACTTCTTTCGGATTCTCTTGAGACATATAAAACTTTTTAAAGATCTGTAAATCCTGAGTTTGAGTGCAAATTCTACGTTCAAAACTCCTACTGGGGGTGGATACGTTTTCAGAATTAGTTTTTTTAAATTATTAAATAACGACAACGAAAAATAAAGTAAAAATTATACAGTAATCTAAATAGATGGTTAGGAACATATTTCTCAAAAGAAATTTGTCAATAAATCAATGCTAAATTCGATTATTTTGTTTTCATTATTATTTTGAATTTCTAATTTTCTTTGAATATATTCGCAGATTTCTTCAAATTCTTCAAATGTCGTCTTTTCAATAATTATTCTAGAAAATCTGCAGAAAATCTTTGTGAATAATGAGAAACCAGAATAATGAGAAAATAGAAACTAATAATTAAACAAGATTACTTATTTTCGATGATAAGATTAATTTTTTTTTTCTTAACATGTTCCTATCCTGTAGTTTATCGTAGAACTTTTTTACATTTTATGTCGTTGTTATTTAATAATTTCAAAAAACTAATTCTGAAAATGTATCCACCCCCAAAGTAAGAGTTTTGAACGTCGAATTTGCGATCAAACTCAGGATTTACAGATCTTTAAAAAGTTTAATATTTCTCAAATGAATCCGATAGAAGTTTTCCACAACACTGCATACTCAGTTCAATTTTCTTACATAGCCGGTCACTCCCTTTAAACAATTTTTTGTCTTCCTTAATTTTATATTTCAAATTTAATTTTGTTTTAGGTCATTACTACGCTTACAGGATGTGATCTATTTGGACTTAGGAATAAATTCCATAATTTTATCATAATTAGAAAACCTTTTTTTCTGCATCCATAAAATTGATGAAAGGAAGACGAAAGACTTTTTTTATTAGTCCAATGAATATGAAAAATGGACTCCCTTTATAAGTTGAAATTTAATCTATTTGTATAATTAATGGCTTTATAATAACATCAACTACACACAAGATGACTTAAAAATCGTCCCATTTTCTGTAAATTATATATTTTTGAATTTATACGTTTTTGCAGTGAGCAGATTACAAGAAACAAATAGCACAGGATCGAACATACTAGAGGAACTACTTCAATAAGTGCTATTACATTGCATCTTTCTTTTTTTATGCATTGCATCCTTTTTAGAATGATATTTTATATACAGGGTGTTCCCAAAAACATTGGAATTCAGTGACGAATTCGATATCGTCTTTGTTATGAATTAGCATTGTAATACCTAATTTCAAAAGCCATAATATTATTATGTCTGCTAGAGTTTATTTAATGAAAAGGGTAAAAGACTGAAAAGATGTGTCTATAATGTCTCCGCAAGATGAACAGTGAATATGGACAAGTTTACTCTGTTTGTATACTGTAATTTTCTTGTTTTACTAAGTACAACCGGTTGCAGTCAAAACATAAACAAACAAAATGTAAACATAGCAGACGAAACTCTTACAGATTACAGCTTTCTCACTAGGTATCACTATACTAAATCAAAGAATTATTCATAAAGACGATATCGAATTCGTCACTGAATTCCCATGTTTTTTGGGACACCCTGTATCAGCTGTCTTTGTATATATATCTGTTATGAGTCATGGGAAGAAATCATCATTATTTAGGCGTACACGGAGACACCCTTTCATCGTAGACCCCGACGACCATCCCATCGGAGACCCCATGGGAGTCTCCGATTAAAAACTTGGTGTCTCCAACGACAATATTGGGTATGCGATGAAAAGCTAGGGGTCTCCAAAGAAAATCTTGGGGTCTCCGATAAAAGCTTGGTGTTTCCAATAAAAATCGAGAGTTCTAAGATCAAAAGTTTGAGGTCTCCAAAAAAGACCAGAGGACTGCGATCTAAACCTTGGGGACTACAAAAAAACAAGAGGTCTGCGATCATTAGCTTGAGGCCTCCAAAATAAATGGAGAGATCTGCGTTGAAAAGACATGGATCTCCAATAAAAATTGAGGGGTCTCCGATGAGATGACTGTGGTCCAATGATGGTTTTTTCTTCCAAAACTTATTATATTTTCGCTATTAAGGTGTTATTATGTGCATGTTATTATTTTCTTTCTCTTACATATTTCCCACTCAGGGGCGAACGAGAGCATTTTTGTAGGGGGCAGGGGGGGGGGCACATTTTGCGTGAGACTGAGCGCCAAAAAATGTTGTGCCCCCCCCCCATTTCCAACATGGCCCCCCTTAAAAACCCGTTTTTTGAAAAAAAAACTATTGATACCTTTTTTAATTATGTAAACTTAAATTTATGTAATTTTCTTAATGTTGCCAATGGGGGGGGGGGGCACAAAACCAGGCAATCCCTCTTAATACCATGGTGTAAGCTTCTTGTGATGAAAAATATAGATGGAAACGTTTCTAAAAAAATATCTATATTTTTATAGGATTGATACATATTGAATTGTAAATTATGATATCAAATATATATTTACACTGATGGCAGTATTGATTAATTGTTTTTAATGAAACTTTTTTTAGTTAAGGGCAAAAGTGAGATTTTAAAGTACTTTTTTCTATACGATGTAATTATACTTAAATGGAATACATGCGTAATTTCAAATGACCCTTCATTTATAAAGTGGTATGTCCGATGTACCTTTGAAACCTTCATTTCTCCATTGTTTCTGAAGCAAGAAATGCGCGAGTCACTTTTGTTGAGAAACCACAAATAAATATATTCTGTTTTCAAAATGGGAAACATGGATTCTTTTTAAACTTACATCAAGTGATTCTCAAAAATTCTTTGAATTTTTTTTAAAATTCGTTTTAAAACTAAACTAATTATTAATTTCTGAGAATTTTATGAATCAGTTGTAACACTTGATACTATTAGAGTTCTAATTAGTCTTAAATTATTACACATGTTGGTAAAAGACAGATAATTAATATTCAGCAATTTTATTCATTACGTGAAATTAATGAAATTCATTTTATAACGTAATAAATAAATTCTACCTTTAATTTTTTTATTCGAAGAAAAGGTGTGTGGGGGGGATAATAGATAGAGTATTGACTTAAGATTATTTGCAACTACTTTACAGGGTTACCTTCAAAGACCTTAATAAGAGCCTAAACCCAACTACAAAAAGGTTAAATCTGGTCATCTGTTTTTAATAAAAAAGGTTTTAATAGTATGTTAAATGGGTTGAAAAAGAAAGAAATACGTTTACAAATGCTGTTAACCCTAAATGCCAGAAAATATATATTAATAAATTCTGAACAATCGTCTCTGAAGTCTCATTCTTTGTGTGTAACCCTGTAATGGAAAATTGAAGAAGATTTGACTGGTTTAAATTTCGGAATAAGACGACATTTTTCATCTTGAAAGATATAAATGTACAAAGATGTTTAAAAGATATTCCTATTATATAGATTAACTAGGTCGGTTGTGAACATTGGCTATTCTTATGTCATTGAGTACTTGTGGTGTACATGAGTTCTGTAGAGAGAAATTTAAGTTAGTTTAGTCCTTCTCATGTCCTTCTTCAGTTCTCGTCAATATGATATATTGCTCAGTGAAATAAAATTCACTCCTGAGTGGTTTAATAATTATGAAATCCATTAAAACACCAAACCACCCCGCTTATTATTGAAGTACACTTGGACCCCTAGAAGTATGAGTTCGCGGACTGTACAATTCTTTGTGATTTTGCGTACATAAGCAATCTATGTTTATTTATTCATCTATGATGACAATTCAGAGACGAATTTACGAAATGCAGTTCTTCTTCTAGAATGGTTGTCGATAGCTTTAAATATTTTTTTCTCTCAAATCAATATGAATTCCAGACTGAACCCTTCAAATCGTTATTTAATTAATGACGACCTTAGATTAAAAAAATAAGGTCGTCATTAGAGTCTCATTCTTTATACGGGTCCTGTACCAAGATTAGGGAAAATACTTAATTTTAAAAAATAGAAGAATAGAAGGAAATAAATACGAGAATTGGTGGAAATTAATAAGAGAATAGATAGAAATAAAAAAGAGAATAGACCCGGGTAGAATCTTAGAGTCTGAAACCTAGTCTTAGACGCCGGGCCGACCTCCTCAGACCCTCTGTTTTTGGAAAAAAATATCAAATTTCACCAAATATATGTAATATGAGCAAAA